TCAGTGCTCTAGCTGGAGTATGAACATGTAAAAGCTCTGATAAATAAGCAGGTGCCAACCCATTTAAAATCTTATAAACAAACAATAGAACCTTAAAAACAATCCTATAACGGACAGGAAGCCAGTGAAGTGAAGCTAAGACTGGGGTAATATGCTCGTACTTTTTAGTCCCAGTTAAAAGACGAGCTGCTGCATTCTGGACTAACTGTAAACGTTGAATACATGACACATCTAAACCAACATATAAAGAGTTACAGTAGTCTAGTCTAGTTGTTATAAAAGCATGAATCGCACTTTCAAATGCCTTACTTGGCAGGTAAGGCTTGACTTTAGCAAGCAGTCTTAGTTGAAAGAAACTGGCTTTTACAACAGAACTAATCTGTTTTTCAAATTTAAGATCACTGTCAAAAATCACACCAAGATTCCTAATAAAAGGACGAACATACCAACCTAAATTACCAAGTCCATCTACACAACCACTTAAATCCCCAGGACGACCAAACACAATGATCTCAGTCTTGTTCTCATTTAGACAAAGAAAATTCTGATTCAGCCATCTCTTTAAATCTCTTAAGCAATTAAATAATGACAGAAAAGAAGTGTTGTCATTTGTTTTAACAGGCAAATAAATTTGGACATCATCCGCATAACAATGAAAGGGGATATTATGTTTTCTAAAAATATTCCCCAAGGGCAATAAATACAAAGAAAACAACATCGGACCCAATATTGACCCCTGAGGAACACCACAAGAAAGAGGGGCAGTAGATGAGAAAAATTCGCCAAGGTGAACAGAAAAACTTCTGTCAAATACGACTGAAACCATTTGAGAGCTATGCCTTGAATACCAACACACTGTTCTAGTCTAGATAAAAGAATCGAGTGGTTGACCGTATCGAAGGCCGCAGTCAAATCTAAAAGGACTAAGACAACCGACTTACCAGAGTCCACAGCTAACAGAAGGTCATTAAAAACTCTCAAAAGAGCAGTTTCCGTACTATGTCTAGGCTTAAAACCAGACTGAAATTTTTCAAAAATACTAAATTCATCCAAAAATTATTTAAGTTGGTTGAAAACAAGTCTCTCCAAAACTTTCGAAAGAAAGGAGAGTTTAGATATAGGTCTAAAATTAGACAAAATTGATGAATCCAAGTTTTTCTTTTTTAGAAGTGGTTGCACAATGGCATGTTTGAAAACAGCTGGTACACACCCTGAACTGAGAGATGTATTCACCAAAGATACAATGCTTGGCCCAACAGTATCAAAAACATCTTTAAATAAATGAGCAGGTATACTATCAAGGGGGCAGTATGCAGGACGTAGCTGCTTAACTATGTCAGAAAGACAAGAAAGCGTAACCGACTCAAACTGCTGGAAGGCAGCTGATGGGCATGAGGAAAAATCTGATGAATCACTGATAACCATATACTGTAGGGCGAAAAATTAAAACCAGCAATTTTGTCCACAAAATATTTCAGAAAGTTTTCGCATAATATTACAGACGGCACAATACAATCAGATTCACGGGGATTAACAAGAGAATTAAAAACATTAAAAAGAACCTGAGGCCGATGGCTGTTATTGGCTACAAGATCTGAGAAGAACTTGGATTTAGCAGTTTTAACCGCTCTTTGATATTTACGTAATGCTTCCTCCATCATTTCAAATGAGATTTCCAGTTTATCCTTTTTCCACTTTCTCTCGGCAACTCTACTTGCACGTCTGAGAGAGTGGGTAGTCTCATTCAACCAAGGTTCTGATTGAACTTTCGGACGTTTTTTCTTAAGCGGAGCAACAGAGTCCAATATATCGGTACAAGTAGAATCAAACAGGACAATAAACTCTTCAACATTGAGATCACAACCAACACAGTTATACAACAAGGAGTTTTTAAAAGCACTAGAAAACTGAGAAGTAGTTATAGGGTTAATTGTTGTTCAATGAGGCCATCTAGTGGCGAGAGTTAATAACGCATAGTATTTTTTCTAGAAAAGTGGGTAGTCAGGTCCTGTGCTCAGTTAGGCAGCAGCCTTTTTCATTGTCTGTCCTTTGAGCTAAGCGCAGAATGGCATCGTCTGTAAGTAGCGTTATTCTTTTCTTGATTTGAATGTGTAATTTGATGTCCAATGGTACTATTTTGTGCTGAGATAATTTTAGAACCTGCTACGCGGTAATTTTGTATCATGTCTCATTAAAACCGACTAAAGAGCTAAATCGAGTGCTTCTTGACGGATAAATGGGAGAGAGTTTAACTACCTGAATAGCTGGATTATTGGCAAGGAGTACAGTGCTCAGCGAGGCCAGGACAGTTGGACTTGGTACTCCTATACTGGAGGTGCAGTGAAGGAGATCGATCGCATCCTCATGGGCAGATGCTGGAGGCTCCTGCAGAACTGCATGGTCTACAGAAGTGCCCAGTTTATAAATTCTGACCACAGACTTGTTGCTACTCTGAAGATTCAGCTTAGATCCAGGAGGCTGTATATCATGAGTTTGCACATAGTTTGTGTGAGGAACTTGCAGACTTGGGTGTGACTGCTGACTCTAATGTGATGCGGGAGACCTTCCGAGATAAGACCCTGAAGGTTGCCGAAGGTTGTGTTGGTGTTGCCAGTGTTCCCAGAAGGAGGTGTTTCATCTCACAGGGCACCCTGAATATTAGGACGTAGGACATCTTTGGGCCCACAATTCTCGAAGCTGATTCTCTGATCAGCTATGAACCACCCAATCTCTCCCTATGCCACAGGGATCCGTGGTGAACTTCTCCAGGCTGGTGGTAAGGCTGTCCTCCTGGCATTGCAGGCAATATTTGCTTTCATTTGGGAGCCAGGCGTCATCCTAACTGACTGGAAAATGGGACTTGCAGTCTCTATCTGGAAAGGAAAGGGTGATCACCTGGATTGCGGCAACTACAGGGGGATAACACTGCTTTCAGTGCCGGAAAAGGTCCTTGCTAGAGACGTCCTTAACAGGATCCTTGATCACTTGCTTGCCTGTCTGCTTTTATGCCTAAAAAGTCTACCATCAATCTTATCCTGGCACTAAGGGTTCTCATGGAGTGCAAGCACAAATATCGGCAGATGATCTTTGCAGCCTTTGTTGATTTTCGTAAAGCGTTTGACTCAGTTGATCAAATTGACCTGTGGGACATCCAAAGACTCTGCGAGATCACCTCGAAGTTACTGGACATCATGGCCGGCCTAAACACTGGTATTGTGAGTGCTGTGCAGAGTGGAGGGAGAACCTCCACGTTATTCCCAGTTGATTCTGGGGTTTGCCAGGGGTGTGTTCACTCTGTTCAATGCTTGTATGGACTTAATGTTGAACAGGGTCGTGGGGTCCAGTAGCTGTGGGGCGTCTGTTGGTGAAGAAAGGTTTACGGATCTTGACTTTTCCGATGATGCACTGATCATGCTCCATGGAGGCTCTGATCAGGGCTCTCAAGAGACTGAGCGAGGAGTCTGAGTGTCTGGGATTGTGGGTGTCCTGGATGAAGAACAAGATCCAGGCATTTAATGACTTCTTAGGCACAGCCATCAGTAATGTGTCTGTATGCGGGTAGAATGTTGACCTTGTTGAGAGATTAACCTACCTCGGCAGCAACATTCATGTCTCCGATAACTGTTCCTACGAAGCCAGCAGACAGATTGGAATGGGGGTCATGAGGTAGCTGGAAAGGGGTGTGTGGCGCTCCCGATATCTTTGCAAGAGCACAAAGGTCCAAGTCTTTAGAGTCCTGGTGCTCCCTGTCTTGCTGTATAGCTGCGAGACATGGACGCTATCTAGTTAGCTGAGATGAAGACTGGACTCCATCGGTACTGTGTCTCCTCGGAAAATCCTTGGGTACCACTGGTTTGACTTTCTGTTGAATGAGCGGTTCCTAAAGGAGTCCCAAATGAGGCATATTACCTGCATTGTGAGGGAGTTTCAGTTATAGCACTACGGCCACGTGGCACGTTTCCCTAAGGGTGATCCAGCTCGCAGGATCCTCCTTGCTGGGGACCAAAGTGGCTGGACCAGGCCAAGGGGATGCCAGTGTAACACCTGGCTATGGCAGATGGATGGCCATTTCCGGAGGTTGGGACTGGACTGTGTGTCGGCCTGGGTGGTCGCCGGCCAGGATCCCAAGAAATTTTGCTGTGTCGTGGGTAACAGAAATGTGCTGCATCTGTGCATGCTCCCCACCCTGACCCCACCTGACCAATTTAACGATCATACAACAGATATTGGTCATTGGACCCTTACAGAGGTACCAATACCAATATAACTTACTTGGTTATACTTTGAGCGGTGGGTGCTTTGTTATTCATGCAAAAAAATTAGAAGTGCATGTCGACTGGAGTCCATGTTTAAATATTGTAAATATATGACTCAAGAGATGATATAAACATTAATATTTTTATAATTTAATATTTTAACTTTTCTTTATTATTTTGAAAAATGTTTTACAATTATTTTATGTTTATGACCAACATCCAGAAGTGCAGACAGGCTATAGAATGTTCATATCTAAAAAGCAGCAATACACCTAATAACTGCTTAATAACAAAGCTTATTTATATAACACTGAAATCCCGATGGGGAAATTGTCTTTATGCATCCCTCCATTTGCTCTTTTGTGGACTAAGTTGCCCACAAAGGGCAGCCACCCAGGGAGCTGGGCGTTAAGGGCCTTACTCAAAGACCTGCAGACGTGCTAAGACTGGGGTTGAACCAGTGACTTTGTGATTACAGATACACAGGCTTAACGCCCAGGAAATTTTAGTATTTTAGGAAATACATATCAAACTACAAATACACCTTAAAAGTGAATCACCACAACATAAATTACAAATACTAAGTATCACCCTCAAATTTCAGTCACTAATTTATATAATTAATCCTCAGCAGGTTGCTGTTTATGCTGCTGCTGTTTATTTCTTACTGTCTGCACAACAAAAACAATAAAATCTGTCTCTTTGTAAAGCTTCTTTAAACCATATTCAATGGGTTCACCTTCAGTTACACCCCACAGGATGAATGCTGCGGAAACCATGATTGGTGGAACTGTGACATGTGACCAGTGACTCAACAGAGCCTGTTTGCTTGTATCTATGGAGAGAAAATAGAACCAAATTTAACCACATGCTCTTTAACATAAGATATCCGCTCATGCAAAGTTTAATGATCTACAGCCATCCTCAGATGGTCATTCTGCTGCATGCTCACCCACAGACACCCAGTACAGACTGTCAGTCTCACTAGATGCAGCTCCTGCATTATTTTTTTGTATAATTTCAGTGAGGACATCAGCTTTGGTTCATTGTTTTGGTTTGCTGTGGTTTACAGTAATAAAACTTTCTGATATTATTCATATTCACACATATGTATTTGTTACTAGAGACACAGGATCAAAGTGTGTTAATTACATCACAGTTAAGCCCTGCAATGGACAGGCACCCTGTGTAGATACAGTCCTGCCTGATGCCCCATGTCTGCTGAGATGCCCTTTACAGGATAAGTGGCTGCAAACATGGATCTACTGATGTCATCATAATTACTAGGAATGACAGAGCAGATGCTACACTTACCTTCCCTTATTAAATGCCTGACAGATAAAGTACCAGTAAGTAGGACTACAGGTGTGACAGCGATGCAAAGCCCCAGAATCAGCCAATGCAGGGATGAATAACCTAAAATATTCAGAATTACATTCCATTAGTCATTTTCTAAAACAGGCCATTTGTCATGCTGCAGCATAATCAACACGTCCACACCATTTAGTCTCACAAAGTGGAGCAGAAATTTACAATTAAATCTTTGTCCGTAAGTGTGTTATTCCTAATTGTTGTTCAGCCTGAAAACATATAGATTTAATATATAAGATTCTTCATATTCCCATATTTGGTTTGGATACATTTACACAACATGTCACAAAGGGCTGTTTAACTGTATTACTCAGTCATACAATGTTATGTACAATTATTAAAAATACTATGTTATTACTGCATTTTTCCCAGTGACACTCTCATGGTCTCTGTACCTCCTAAATCAATTTTAATAATAAATCCATAATTACACATTACACTGCATCACTCTAATAAAATATCTGTTATTATAGAGCTGAAAACTGCACTATTGGGGAAGCCTGAAAGACATTTATTCATTCATGTAATGCATGTTGTGTCTTTAAAACTGAACTAAATTCATACTGTTACACTGAGCATAATAGACCCTATGGCATTTACATAAAGATCAGTCTACAGCAGAACCTCTGACCCTCAGAGGAATTAAAATGTGACTTAATGCCACAAAACTATGCTGAGATGCATGTTAAAACCAGTCCTTCTAGTGACTCACCCAGTGCTGCTATCCTAGCAGTTGTATTGGCAGAATCAGTATCTGAGTGGACTTCACACCTGAACTCTCCTTTGTCTTCAGTCTTGACTTTCCTCATTTTCATTGAGAAGTTTCCTTTGGGAATTTCTTCAGTGAAGAATTCAGCTCTTCCAGAGTATCTCCCATCCTGTGACTCTGGTCTGTTCTCTCCATCAGCATACAGAAGCACCAAGATGTCACTGTCATCATCTGTCCTTCTCCATTGCACCTGAAGCTCTGTCACATTAACATGGGTGTCCACAGAGCAGCTGAGAGTCACATCCTCTCCAGCATGTGCATAGACAGGCTCATCTGCACCCGTCACCACCAGTCGCTCTGGAACAAGAACAAGAGGATTCACACGACCTGGCAACCTGACATCTGTGTGTTTTCCTCTCCTGTTCTGGGAGGAAACCTAGATTTTTGGGGCCATTTCAAATTTAACATAAATCATAATTGAAATTTTGACACTTAGGAACTGGGAAGATTTTTGTCATTTTTGTTTGAAAATTATAGGAAAGAAACCAAAGATGAAGATACACCATAGTTAAAATAATAATAATAAAAAAAAAAACATTTACAAAGTACAGTCAAACCTCCCTTATCCGGGCAGAATGGGACCGAGGGGTGCCCGTAAGTAAGAAATGCCCGTAAGTAAGAAATGCCCGGAACTTAGAAATACATGAACAGTACAGTATAACGTATATATACATGTGTACACACACAAACTACATAATATTTATGAGGTGCAAGGCTTATAATAGGATGTTATTTCAGTCTGAGCTAATGAATCATCCCGTTTTATTCTTGTTGTGTTCATCTAGTTTTTAACCAGCATCAAGTGAGCTGGATGATTTTTTTCTTTACTCTTCTAAATATCACCTACCGTAGACTTAGCCACTCCAAAATGGTCTGCAACAACTCTGTGTAATTTTCCTTTTCGTATCTGTGTAATGATATCAAGCTTCTTTTGGAGAGATGTGACACTATGCTTCCTTTTTGAAGCCATGGATTTAGTTGTAGAATTTGCCGTTATGTTTTTGTTTTCTCTACACTTAGGTAAGCTAGCTTTCGGTTGCGTTCGGAAACTGGGTTTTGTTTATTGTTTTCGCTGTAGTCACTCCTGAGTCCTCCTGCACCATGGCCTGTACTACGAAGCGGGGTTACTGGCCTATCGGGGTAACTTGTCAGATTTAAGGTACTACAGTTTAAATGGACTTCATATCGTTCACTTACATTTTGCCCAAACTACCTTAAATCCGACAAGTTACCCCAATAAACCAATAACCCTGCTTTGTAGTACAGCCCCCGGGTTTATTTGTTCTGTGTCCTTGGCGTGTCAATAAAAACAGAAAAATATTTTAAAGTACCACTTTGACCACGTGTATTCCCTTGTCCATCCCACCCTGTCCTTCCATTACTCCACGTCCCCTTTCCCTTTCACTCCGTTACGGCCCAACCCTAGACTGGGGCTCGTAACAACAGCTGCTGGTTGTGAAAAATTAACTTGTGCCTAGAGCTACCTAAAGGGAGGCGCCCATAGTGTTGTTTTCGTCAACAAAATATTTGACGAAATATCTTCGTCAATGAACCTTTTTGACGTGATGGAGAATATATCATGTAATATTGTTCACGAATAAAAACTAGACTAAATTTGGTTTACAAAATAAAAACTATACTAAAATGTCTCTTCATTTTCGTTGACGAAAACGAGACGAGACGTTATTTCCTCTCGTTTAATCGCGGGTGAGGGTAAAATGCGGATTCCGCCGGACGTAAACAAAAGAGAAATTGGAGGAGCTCAGCATTGCGGCGCAACTGCACAGTCAGTACAATACGGTTGTCCGAAATCGTATTGTTCTTAATGTTAACATTAATTTAATTGTTAATTTGTTAAACATGTGAAAATGTTGTATATATATTATTTGTTGAGCGTTCTCTGGTGGAGGATAATCTGCATTTTTCCCCTCTCTTGTCCCGTCAGACAGATGTGGATGTCCATGGCTACCAACGTCACTCTTTATGGATGCCTGATCCTGACGAATAAAATAAATCATAATAAATAAATATGTCTTTCACCAAACATGTCAGTATTTTATTGTAATTCTGTATTTCTGTAGATCTCATATCCAAGCACTATTGAACTGTTTTGGTGTTATCTGATTAAATTTTCTCATATAAGTACAGCTATACTGTACAGCTTGCAAGCATTCCTGTGAAATATCTAGAAATATCTAGCTTGTACAAACGTGGTTGCCACTCTACAAGCCATTTTATCAGAATTAATGCACGAAATAAATAAAAGAAAAAGGATATTGCAAAGTATCTGTTATATTGAAACATGGAAGTGCTACGTAGAAATCCTGCCCCAAGACAAGTGATAGGAAGCTCGCAATTTGTACTATACGAAAATGCATGAAAGTTCCAGGGGCAGGATTTCTAAATGTGCATTTCGCCCTGTACACTGTAACCATGGGGAAGCTGCCATCCATAATGTTCAACTAAAAGTCCACGGAAGTGGCACATAGAAATCCTGCCCCGGGACATGTGATATACTGCCAGAAAGCTTGCAATTGGTACTATACGAAAATGCATGAAAGTTCCCTGGACAGAATTTCTAAATGTGCATTTCGCCCTGTACACTGTAACCATGGGGAAGCTGCCATCCATAATGTTCAATTAAAAGTCCACGGAAGTGGCACGTAGAAATCCTGCCTGGGGACATGTGATATACTCTCGGAAAGCTCGCAATTTGTACTATACGAAAATACATGAACGTGCCCGGGGCAGGATTTCTAAATGTGCAATTCGCCCTTTACATTGTAACCATGGGGAAGCTGCCATCCATAATGTTCAATTAAAAGTCCACGGAAGTGGCACGTAGAAATCCTGCCCTGGGACATGTGATATACTGCCAGAAAGCTCGCAATTTGTACTATACGAAAATGCATGAAAGTTCCCTGGACAGAATTTCTAAATGTGCATTTCACCCTGTACACTGTAACCATGGGGAAGCTGCCATCCATAATCTTAAACTAAAAGTCCACGGAAGTGGCACGTAGAAATCCTGCCCCGGGACATGTGATATACTGCCGGAAAGCTCGCAATTTGTACTATACGAAAATGCATGAAAGTTCCCGGCGCAGGGTTTCTAAATGTGCATTTCGCCCTGTACACTGTAACCCTGGGGAAGCTGCCATCCATAATCTTAAACTAAAAGTCCATGGAAGTGGCACGTAGAANGAACCTGCTACGCGGTAATTTTGTATCTTATGTCTTTTCAGTTTTACACGTATCTCATTAAAACCGGCTAAAGAGCTAAATCGAGTGCTTCTTGACGGATAAATGGGAGAGTGTTTAACTATCTGAATAGCTGGGTTATTGGCAAGGAGTACAGTGCTCAGCGAGGCCAGGACAAACATTATACAACAATAAACATACAGTCAGGGAGAAAAAGTATACCTTCTTTCAATTTTAAGGTTTTGTGTGATAATGTAAAATGTATGTAAAAAATCATCTTGTCCTTAGCAGGTCTTAAAATTAGATAAGTACAACCTCAGATGAAATAACACATGACATATTACTATGGGAGGTATTTTCTGCAAAAAATAAAATGAAAATGATAAAAAGAAAATACAGTCTCCACTTTGCCATTTAGTTTCCAAAGTCCGTGCACAAAAATCTTGCAAAAATTAAAATTAAAATGAAATAGCACCATTTGCATTTTAATTTTCCACTCATGTATGAGTCAGATGTGAAAAATGTAAAAAAAAATAAAAACCCTTTTTGTCTTTTCATTTTCCAATTTGACATTTCACTACATGCAAATACATGTTAATCGGAGCAGGGTGGTGGGCGGAGCTACGGATCACTGCTGCGCTTTCTCAGTGCATTAACAGATTCTGTTGTCTTCGTGTTTCTTAGCCATGGTCAACCTTGTCGCCCAAACTAATGGCAAAGTCATATGCGACTTAAGTTAGCTACTTATCTACGGCTTCCGATTCGTTTATCTTATTATTTGTAGCGACTTTTTTCATGGCTTAAATTACTTCCAGCTTCCTTACGGGAGTGTTCGCAGCTGCACATGCTATAAAATGTCTTAACTAAAAACTGTACAGCATGTGCGGCTGCAAACACTCCCAAAATGCAGAAGCAGTGTGTGAAGTACCCCGTACTGCTTCCATGGGAATTAAGAGGGTAAGTAGCAGCCAGGTGCTGCTAATCAAATGCAATTGACTAGATCATCAGCAAGTGTGACCACCACTATAAAACCAGAAATTTTAGCAATTTGCTGGACAGAAGCATTCAGGTGTGTGTTAACACAATGCCAAGGAGGAAAGATATCAGCAATGGTCTTGGAGAAACAATTGTTACTGCCCATCAATCTCGGAAGGGTTATCAGGCCATTTCCAAACAATATTAAGTCCGTCATTCTACAGTGAGATATACAGTGACTATTTACAAATGGAAAACATTCAAGATAGTTGTTAGTATTCCCAGGAGTGGATGTCCCAGCAAATTCACCCCAAAGTCAGTGCAATGCTCAGACAAATAGCAAAAAACCCATGAGCTATATCTCAGACTCGACAGGCCTCAGCATGTTAAATAAAGTTCATTACATCACAATTAGAAAACAACTGAACAAGTATGGCTTGTTTGGTAGGGTTGCTAGGAGAAAACCTTCTCTCTCTAAAAATAACATGGCAGCACAACTTAGGTTTACAAAACTGCATCTGAACAAACCACAAGACTTCTGGAATAACGTCCTTTGCACAGATGAGACAAAGTTGAGATGTCTGGCCATAATGCACAGCGCTACAGTACATTTGGCAAAAACCAAGCACAGCGTATCAGCACAAACACCTTCATACGAACTGTTAAGCATGGTGGTGGAGGGGTGATGATTTGTGCTTGTTTTGTAGCCACAGGACCTGGGTACCTTCCAACCACCAAGTTGCACATGAACTCCTCTACAGTATATACCAAAGTATTTTAGAGTCAAATGTGAGGCCATCTGTCTAAAGCTTGGCCAGAATTGGGTCATGCAACAGGTCAGTAAACCCAAGCACAACAGCAACAACAGAATGGATGAAAAAGAAAAGAATCGTTCCCAGATAGCCAGATAACTTCTTGGATTTAAGGTAGTCTGGGCTAAATGGACTTTATTTTCATTCCCCTACATTTAGCCCAGACTA